AAGATGCCGCTATACTATAGACTACTAGCCGCCCTACTAGTTAACTATTACACCTTAATAACATACAAGAAGTACTTAATATTAATTCTTCCCGCGATTCTACTAGCAATTCTACTAGTAATTCTACTAGCAATAGTGTAGACCTAATAGATAACTATAATAATAACATGTAACTTATAGACAAGGATAAAGAGGTTCTATACCTAGAGGACTTTTTAGGGGATATACAATAGCAAATAGGATATATACTATATTATAAGTAAATAGAGCGTGTTTAATAACTTTACACTACCTCTCTTAATATATACGCTGCATTTATAGGTACTCTACGTAAGAAGTTCTAAAAGATATAACAAACTTTAAAGAAATACTATAATATTAATATTAGTAATACTATCTACTAGGGGCAGCATACACTATATACCTTATTCTAGGATACTATAACTCCTCTATCTATTAATTATTATACTAATAGGTGCGTAGCCTTTACTAGCGACCTTAACACTACTTATATGTGCCTATCCTATAGTAGAGCTTAGTATAATAAGAAAGGCAAATCTAAATATTAATAGTAATATATCCCTATACTTCTATAACTATATATCTAGTATAATAATAGTTATTAGTTATAATAATTAAAAGCGTATTAAGTAACTTTTAACTCTACTAGTAAATATACTTTATACTAAGACGTGTATAATAGGGACTAGTTTTAAGAATATAGTAGGAAAGGATACTTCTAAGACCCTAGGGATCTAGCTTTACAACTTATATTAGACGTAGTAGGTATAGTAAAGAACCCTAAGAAATAATAAAGCATTACACTAGTAGTGCTATATATCTTAAACCTTTACCTATCTATTTAGGATTAAGACTGCAATATACTTGTTACTACTATTATACCTAGTACTTTTAATAAAAAATTTATAGACACTTAGCTATACCTAATAGTAGAGGAATTACGCTAACTTGTAGTTAGAGTTTACATATACAACGTAGACACTTAGGAAGAATTTATCCTTTATACCTACCTTATACTAATAACTAGAGATAGGCTAGCTATAGCAGAGATTATAGAAACAAAATAGCCTAGTATATTAAAAAGGAGTTACTGCCTATACCTGCATAAAGGAACTAAGGGGAGAACTAGCAAATACTCTTTCCTAAATAGAGATACCCTTTACCTAGTTATATATAATAATTTAGCTACTACTATTAAAGATATATATAAATAATAGACTAATATACTAGCCTCTAGATATACTACCTTACGCTAAGATACTAGTATTAACTACTACTCTATCCTATTAGACCTCCCTACTATACACTTTCCTTATAGCTTTCCTATTAACGTTATACACGTAATATCCTATAATATACCTAAAGCCTTGTTCTAACTCTAGAAAGGGGATAAATTTAATAACAAGACTATACTATAGCTTATTACTAACGCTAATTAGGCTTTAATTAATAAAGGTCTTTACAAGTCTTATTCCTTAGTACTAACCTAAGTTAGTACTACCCTATAAAGCACTATAATATATAAGATATAGACTTTATTTAAATAGTAGACTTTTATACTTACTTATAGAGCGCTAGCTATATAGGTCTATCTTTAGAAGGAATATGCTAATAACTTCCTACGCTACTATAAACTACTCTTCTATATAAGCTAGAGGGAGTTTACTATTAACTAGATTAACAAGTTAGAACTATTAGTAGAGAATTTTATTTACTAGTATAAGTTACTCTACTACTATAGTAAAGTAGACTAGTTACTATCTTACTCTATTTAGATCTATTACCTACTCTACCTTATATCTAATACTAGGGATTTTAGACTACTTATATACTATACCTAATAGTCTTTAAAGAGACTTATTAGTTATATTAAGAAGATAGCAACTTCTCCTTCCTAGAAGTATATTAGTTTAGAGTAGAATATGCTAGTATATAAGCGTATTATCTACGCGTAATAGCTTAGGCTTAGTATAGAGTATAATATTAATAAAAATACAATTATAACTTAGCTATAAGAGTACTATCTAAAATCTAAGTCTTATAGTAGTATAGATACGCACTAGGGACGTATCCTAGATAACACTTATACTATAATTATAACTATAGTGCATGCTATATAGACACACGCCTAGGATATAGTTATATATAACTATTATATACTTCTAAATAGGTGTACTATTAGGGTTTTAAGGAATTATAAAGATAGTAACTACCCCTAGAGCACTGCGTTTATTATATATTACGCTGCTAGAAATAATTATAATAACTATATTTAGCTCTCCTTTAGGATAGTAATACACCTATTTTAAGATCTAGCTAATAACTCTAAATAGGCAGGAGTACTTTAATAGTAATAGATATAACCCGCTGCTACTATAGGCTAACTAGCCTAACCTTAGAGGATAATAGAAGATAATAACAGCATTAAATAGATTTAAACAATAATAATTGTTAACCTTATAGGAGTAGCTATAGTTTACTATAGATACAGCGCTTAACTTTAACCTAGTAATAAGCTATATATTATTAATAAACGCAGATAGTCTAAGACTAACTACCTATAGTTAAGTAAGATAATAGGTCTATATCTAGCTTTATAGTACTAGGCTCTTTATACTAACACTATTGCTATATAATATACTAGCATTTATTAGGTAAGTATATTATCTATATATTACGCTAGACTATTATTAGATATACTAACTTACACTAATTACTGCGCAGTTATACTACTTGTATACCTATTTAATTTACATTATACTGCAGTTTTCTAAAAATAAGTAAGGTACGCAGTAGATAGCCTTACAATTACGCGGGTATAGGCTAATTATTACGCAGGTATAGGCTAATAATTAGGCAGTTTTAGGCCTGTTAATTAGGCGGGTATAGGCTATTAATTAGGCAGGTATAGGCTGTTAATTAGGCGGGTATAGGCTATTAATTAGGCGGGTATAGGCTGTTAATTAGGCGGGTTAGGCCTAGGGACAGGACAGGCGACAACGTACTAGTAGTTTATATAAGGATACTAAAAAAAATCTAATACTATTATTACTACACCTAACACTTATATTTTGTCTTTTATAAACTACTTTATATACTCTACTAATAGGTCTATTATAAACTACTTTATTTACTCTACTAATAGGTCTATAGTAAACCACACTATGTTTATACTATAAAAAAGTAAACCACTACTTTAAACCTATTTATAGGTATACATAAGGTCAGTTTACACCTATATAGTAAACCCCTAGCGTACCATTCTACAGTAAACAATTTTTTACCGTAGTGCCGCTTGTAAACAAATTGCACGATCCGTAATCGGCCCTTTTCTCGTGACATTATTCGAATCCACTCATGTGCCAGAAATCGGGGCCGACGGCTCCAGAAGACCTGGTCTGTTCGGCGGATAATTTCCTAGGGAGGCTCTGGAACTGCCTGTACCGCATCGATGCCCAGCAGCATAAGCTTCATGGGGGTCAGTACCTTAGAAGAGGCGTAGGATTCAGCCTGCATCAAGTTCGCAATGTCGTACGTGTTGCGGTCGGAGACGTCGGGAATCAGAAAGATTGTTAGAATGTTGTAAGGGAGTGAGAGGGTGCGGTGCAGTTCAGTCGCGCAAGTTTCCCAAACGCGTCGGGGCGTCTTGGAACGAGGCGGCGGACAGCCTTATAACCTCAATCCGTCCAGTTCGAGACCTCACACATTCGTCATCTTACTGTCTGATCAGGAAGCCGGCGCATAAACATTAATCATAATTTACCATGGCCTCCACATGTCGGCAGTTCTTGTACGGAGGTGGCTTTCAAAAGTTCTTGCTAGCGTATTTGTTAGCGGCTGATCTATTAGCCTAACTTTCTTAGCCTACACACACTTAATTTTAAAGCTGTAGATAGTAGTAGTAATAGTCTATCTACTTAATCCTTTAGTGTTTTTACTCTACTATAGCTCCTAATACTAATCCCTATACCTATACGCTTATTATAACTCTAAAGTTACCTTTTAGTAGTAAATCTACTACCTAAATTAGTGCTATTATAGGTATTTTACTATATACTATTAGGAAGGGCGCTCTTAAAAGTAGAGCAGAGGGTATAAAAGTATAGTTAAAGGCTTAGGATAAGCTACCTTAATACTAAATCTAGGCTTAGATAGAGCGTATATAGTATTATATTTAGCAGATTATTAGACTAGAAGGTAGTAATAAGTATAAGGAGGGGCGGCGCGATAGAGTAGTCTAAGCTTTGGTGGTATCACGGCGGTAATATAGACACCCCTGTTAGCAAGAACTTTTAAAAGCCACCTCCGTACATTTAGTAGTCCTTACCATATTACATGCACAACATGTACATGTACATCCGGTTGTCCCTGACTATTGCATCATACACACTGATTTGGACATGATTCAGGCAAGCACACATGACAACCTACTCTACAGTAGCATACCGTAGAGGTCCGGACGCTAGATTGTTCAGGCGCTACTCGCACCTTGAGTCAACTCATTGGTGAGTATAGATAGTGCGTAATATGTATATAAGTCATTCAGCTCAAATGCAATATGCTATTGGCATAAATGATACCCCAAGTGCTTCGGCTGGCCCTGAGGTTATACCACTACACTATCCATGGTCACGTGTTTTTGGTGTGGATTGAGTCACGTGATGATGACCAGCAACCAAGAGAATGGAGCAACGGCGTGTCGAGACAATTTTGGGTATCTAAAGAGACTGTAAGAAGAGAAGTGATGATCGAGTACTGTGGTAGCTCTTGCTTGACGTTGAGTTACGGACTTTGCCGTGTCAGTCAAGAATCGCTAGGTAATGCCTACTGATCCTTCGCGGCTACCAATTGATGATGAAATGAACAGAAATAGGACCGATTGAAAAATCCTTCAACAAAAGACGCAAAAGAATGCAGGTCGTGTGAGACTGGTATCCAATGCAAAATAGAGAAAATATTATCTCTTGTCCGCCGACGATCTAATCCTGCTCTGGGCGACCGAGACCATGGTCGTGGGACACGTCCCTGATATCCTTCGTTTCGATACGGCCCACCCCCGGGTACTTGTCATGGCGATCAATCAAGCTGTTGACCGTATTGACACCGGATAGCTGGTTGTTGCTTCCTTCGCTGCTAACAGTCTTGACTTGCGAGAGAGCGTACTTGTCGAGCTGTTCGCGCTCTGGAAATAACGAGACTTCTCCACCGTTTTCCTGGATAATGGGCATATCTGGCCTGTCGTTATCGATAGACAAGTTCCTCACACGAGAGTCTAGATCGAGAGGCCCATTCGGATCTGGTATTGCACTGAGGGACTTGGAGCGCACTGGTACAAGAGCATTGCCCTCGTTTGGTGCCTCGCTTTCTGGCAGTATTGCTTCGCCTTCTGATAGAGAGCGCATTGACTCGACAAGTTCGTCTGGACCAGGGGTGCTATTTGAACGTTGCTTGTTCATGTTCTTTGAACTCTTCGACCAAGACTTGAACTTGAACGCAGAGAGCCAACCGGGTCGTCTGTCTTTGCCACTATTCGGGTCACAGGCTCGCTCAGCGGATAGCTGTAGATGCGTCTTATCTGCTGCGGCAAACTTTGGTGGAGCTGTACGAATGTCGTAGTCAGACTTGCGCCGCCCACCAGCTGGACTTTCCTTGGGAACCGCGAGACCTAAGCTCGCACGACGTTTTGCTAAGCTTGTCTCCTTCAATTCCTCATTGATGTACTTGAGGGCAGAGTCTGCGACTTCAATATACTCGGGATAATCAACCTCGCAAGCTTCGCGAATAAGCCGTAATTTTTCCCAGTCCTGGTAGACGATGGGGCCGGTGAGGTCAGGGTGCCAGGCCATGCATCGTATATCGCTTCGAGTACCGCGATCCACTTGCTCTTTCACGCCCATGAGCTCGATGAGCGAATCTACCTCGGTGCGCACGGTTGCTACGTAGTGGTTGAAGCGTGCGCCGTCCTTGACGGTCCAGTGGTTCGTTGTCATGCTCGTATTGCGCTTGATGCTCGTTCGTGTACCCGTCTGTCTAAGAAGATCCTGTAGCAGTGCATACTTTTCACGAAACCCCTCCAAGCGGTTGGTGTCCAAGGCTGGGTACTCCAGTTTAGAGAAGCTTTTAGGACTCTTCATCCCATAAGTATTCATCAGCTCGTCCCGTGACATGTTCGATGGGCGACCCGCAATTTCATGGAGAGATTTCCGAATTTTGGCATTGATCACCTCGTCGTCCAGTCTCGGATCTCTAACGCCAAAATTGACAGGTAGATGCGGATCTGGGTTGGTGATTCCTGGATGGCTAGGAATCATATGTCGAGCGATGTTTGGTGGAGGAGCTGAAATGCCAACCGCATCGCCAAAGATTAGCAGCCTGCCCTGCTGTAGCCCAAGCTTTGCAAGTGCGACTTTTTGCGCGTGATCGTTGTCTTTGGATGGATGGATAAGATTGAAGGCCTCCACACAAGTGCTGAACTGAGTCGCAAGAGAGAAAACATCGGTGAGAATTTGTGCCTTTGTCTTTCCAGACGGTTGCCCTTCAATAGTCTCGACAGCGCTTTTGTCGGCCATGGTTGCGGGGTAAGCGCAAGAAGGGAGGTCAACGGCTTACAAGGAGTTGACAATGAATGCAACGAGGGTATTCACTGTACTGGTAAAGACCTGGGAGACACAAGAGACAAATTAGCAGCGACCGATGGACAGCCTAGGTGCATATTGATCCCATGGCATATGACGTCGCAGAGGTTACTGTGAAGGGCTTCTGTGGCGCAGCTTCGGAGCGGGGCAAGCTTAGTTCGCCAACCCCTTGCGGCCTTGGGGCATGGAAGCATGCTCGCGATTCGCAGACTCTCCATCTGGCTGCACATAAGCATACTAAGAGCAGATGCATATGGATAGAGTACTGCCATACCCTGTTGATCGGATGCTGTGGCATGTGTTCTGTCGCACAACACGTGCGCCAGGTCCTAATCAAACAAATCTGCAACGCCAAGTGGTGAGTTGTTGGGAGCCTGCCCAAGTGGCCCCGCTCAAAGTCTCGGTGAAAATTCATGTCCACCCATAGATAAGTTTTCTTTCTTTCTTTTCTTCAAGTCGGAGCGACTACCGGTACCACATTAAGGATTTCCAACACACTGTTTTGTGGGATAGTTCTGGTTTACCAAGTCAACGTCTTGGAAGTTTGATAACACCACAGAGTATAGAAGTATAAGGTTGATGTGGAGTTTAGAAGGTTTCATGTGAAAAGCTGAACAAAATGTATAGACTATCTTATATTATCAGAGGCTCAGTATGGGCACATTGTTTCGAGATTTATCACAGTGCTAAGCAACAAGGACGAAGCATGTTTGTCCCGACGGCGAGTGAAGGCCACTCTGATTTCGATATGAAAATCTCCATTGGATATCAATGCCCACTGAGAACACTTGGAGAGCAATCCATGACGCTTGCTGCATAACCCAGCCTGTTGAAGATGAAATCATCAAGCAAAAGTGGCTGCTCTTCCACACAGGTCTCTCTTCATTACACATCGAAGAGTGAAGGTATCTCTCCATCGTGATCCCCAGAATCGCCAAATGTTCCAGTTGCCAAGCCTTTCGTTCACCATTATACATTCGTTGGTAGCGAGTACGCCCACACTGTCGTGCCTGAGGTCTTCAAGCTACGCAGCTTCGGATTTCCTTTTGACCAGCATGTCATCCTGGCCCTCTCAATTGACATGAGAAAATGAACCAGGCATGATTCTGTTATATGAGACTCCTGCGTTCAAGTAAACAAGATACTTGGTCTCTTCTTGAAACGCGATTAAAAACAATCCATCCTCACTGTGGCTGCCAGAAGGGGCGCGAAAAGGATCCAACATGGCAAGGGGTGCCATGCGCAGATCATCCCTATATCGACGTTTCAAGTTGCTACAGATTGAAGCTTAAAAGCGACACTGAGTCAGATCTGAGTCATTGTAGATCTTGCAATCTGCCGTTGCTGCTCTATGGTGAACTTAAAGGGGATGCATATTGACGAAAGCTACAATCGCCATGTCAACATTGTGGAGACCCACGAGCCGCTAGTACTAAACATATGCTAAACACATGTCAAAAAAGATATATCGGGATACTTCTCTTCACCGTGCGGAAGGTTCCATGGTGTTGGAAATTAGCAATGTTGACAACGTGGAGTCGGTTGTGATCCGCACCGTCGTAGACAACGTCTATCAATTGTCCTTCTTGAGCCATCTGTACTTAGATATGCTTCCTAACACACCCAGACAAGCGCATACCGGAAGATAATACCGATAGTAAAAGCTAGATCTTTGAACTACCCACGCAATCATTCTATCAACAAGAGACCCACTTCCGAATGATTTCCCGTTTCAGCACTCGGTCAGATTAACTCAGATCTCAGTGCTGTAACAGACGAATAATTGTGCGGCGTGTGCGTTTCTCTTGTCATTAGCCTCGCGGGGATCTGTATGTCACAGATCATACATTTCTTTCCATTAGTCTGGCGTAGTTGGAATATACGGAATATACCTGCCACCTGTGTCCTGGCGACATTTATCTAGGTCGAAATCATTCTGCCTCACAGAAGGAGCAAGTGTACCACTAAGCCACGTTCTCGGCCCCATTGGAAATATCCTTCCGTGTCTGGGTTAGCATCTGGGACTATATTACTTGTCCAATAGTTGAGCAAGAGCTCATGAGCCACAGCGCAATTTTCAACACTATAACCACTAAAATGGGCTAACAACATTTTCGATCATTCGTCAACCTGGATCCATGAAGCGGCTCAATGCAGTGTGTGGAGGGTTTCGGTATCTGTTAGCGCTGCCGTCTCTTTAGCGATTGGTACCCGTCCACACCGGTACATTCGAGAGGCTCATATCAATGACTAGACGGATGGCTGGTTAGTTTCCACCTATTGATCTCGCTGTCCTTATCGGGGGCTAAACGCCCAAAGCCACATAGGCGCATCCTATGTCTAGTAGAGGGTGCTCTCGGCCAGAGGCTAATGTCTACAAGAAGCTCAAGGATAGTCTATGTATGACTATAACAGAGAGTCTCCCTCCTTTTGTATACATTGATTCTCACTAGTGTCTCTATATTTATAGATGCTATAAATGGCTACACGTAAGCTTTGAAGCAGCTGCAGGGACTCTCATGAGCCTTCCTGTGCTTCTTGTCTAGCGTTCATATTGTGAAAATTTTGCCTGGTGCAACAAAAAGTTACTTGCTCTTGCGTCCTCACTTTTCTCTTATACATCTAAGCATTAGCACGTTTTCAAGGCATGGAAAAGTTGCGAAGACCTTGCGGTTGTATTTCGCCATTGCCACCTTCACATCCCTATAGACTAAGGAGATGACTCCGGTGAAATCCTTCATTAGCTCTGAGCGATCTTCTCGGAGATGTGGTCATGTTCTTAGCCGGGGCTCTGGCCGCTGCAGATCTGATTTCGAGGGCCAATGATCATGACTGTTCAGATGGATGTATTCCTGAGCACTACGGTAAAAAATTGTTTACTGTAGAATGGTACGCTAGGGGTTTACTATATAGGTGTAAACTGACCTCGTGTATACCTATAAATAGGTTTAAAGTAGTGGTTTACTTTTATAGTAGGGATTTAAATTAAGTATACAAAGTAGTTTTATTTCTATTATACGCTATAATACCTAATTAAGACTAAAAGGGGTAGAAAAGAGTAGCTTCACGATATACGCATATATGACATAATGATGAGTTATGATATTTTTACTAATAGGAGGTGGTGATAATAGAGGTGGTGGTGATAGAGG